GTTGTCATCCATTGGCAATCCGCCTTTTTCTTAGTTTTTAGCCTTTGTCACTGGACAAGTTAATTACTGAAGCTGACCATGGTTGATGTCGCTGCCTCTCGGATGTGATATGTATTGCTCATTATGATTGGGTTGCGCCTAATATGGGGGCGCAATTTTTCGTCATTACAAGCTCCACTTCGGCTGTTATGAAGTCGCCGGGATCTAGCAGCTAGACACCCGCCTGTGGATCAGAAGGTCGTAAGTTCGGTTCCTGACAGGGGCCATACTTTTTCAAAAATGACTTTGGTCTCCAGATCGACTCAGCCTTCAGTGAGTACCAGGTGCAGTCTTGGGAAGTAAAGGCGGCCACTGTGATGCTGACCACATCACCCACCAAGTGCCGTTTGGTCTATAAAATAGGGGTCTAACTAAATATACCGAATTCACCTGAAAGACGTGGGAAAGCTTCCTATACTTTACTTCGGCTGTTGCGGGGGGCCCTAATATAACACAAACTATGGGTTGAACGGGGTTGCTGGGACTTGTGCCCGGGTGATCCACATTCGAATGGTGGCACTTTGTGTCACCGGGGGTTGGTCGTTCGTTGTACGGTGCTGGTGGGGTTGAACAACATACATAATACATACATACACACACGCACGCACGCACGCACACACACACACACACACACACACACATACATACATACATACATACATACATACATACACGCACGCACACGTACCCACACCTACACACACCAACACGCACACACACGCGCTAACACACGCGCACACACACACACATACATACATACACGCACACACACGTAACCACACCTACACACACCAACACGCACACACACGCGCTAACACACGCGCACACACACACGCACGCTCACGCACGCACAAATACATACAAACATGTGACATGTTCCACACACGCGCTAACACACGCGCACACGCACGCTTACGCACGCACACATACATACAAACATGTGACATGTTCCGCCCACGGCAACCAGCGCTAGTGGCTCCCCCACATGTCTCCCATATATCACAGCTGTGGTCTTCTGAGATAACTCAGTTTACACCTGGGACCGCAGAGTTATGTACCGTATCTTTTCTTTTATTCTACTTATGTCACATTGTTTGTTCTATATTTTATATGTATGTATGTATGTGTATGTGTGTAAGGTGTCCAAAATATTTCTATACATAGGAAAAATTAACATTCGTTAATGAAAATTATTGTTAGTGATATAATGTACTTTAAATGACTAGCATTGTTTTGGTAACGTATTTCAAAGCGTTTGCCGTAGAACGGGTATAAACACAGTCGGAGCTATGATTGTAGCGGCGTTTGTGATATGATTTGCTCTTTTTGTGTATGGGAACTTATGGGATATTCATTAGTTACTTGCCTAACTTGTACACGACGTTGCAGATCCACAAGCATCATTTTTGGGCTGTTTGATATTAGACAATTTTACGCTCAGAAATTTGCCAATGCTCCCTTGAACGGTCGGCACTTAATACTTTTGTTTAAATTAACGCAGTGCAGTCTGCTGCCAAATCGCCAGCAGCTGAAATCAAACCGAGCATCTCAGAATTTCTAAGACTGTTTGGGTGGTATGCAACGATACGGCAGTAGCGGTATCTTTTTAAGCATCATTTTTCAGCGGTACTGTAATAAAGGCTTTGTGGTGAGTACAGACAGTTTTTAATCAGCAATGTTCAGCGGTACTGTAATAAATAATTTGTGGTGAGTCAGACAGCTTTTAAACATCATTTTTACCGGTACTGTAATAATTGCTTTCTGATGAGTACTGTCAGTTTTTAAACATCATTTTTCAGCAGTACTCTAAAAAAAATGCTTTGTGGTGAGTACTGACAGCTATTCGGACACTTTCTGATAAGTACCTGTTTTTCTGGTTAAATGGAAAAAAACATGTGTGTATATATATATGTGTGCGTGCGTGTCTGTGTTCGTGCGCGTGTCTGTGTGCGTGAGTGCGTGTGTGTGTGCGTGCGTGCTTGTGAATATAAAGAATATTTTTGCACTACTGGCTCATCGGACATATATGATGCGGCACTCTTTTTTTAATAGACTTACGGACTTGTAGGCGATGTAGTGAATGTCTTGCCGGCCGCCTTAGCTTCCCCGGGCATTTCCTTGTATCTCTTTGAGGCTAGGTTAACCTGCGAGTCATGGTCATTTCTTTTAAAAAAAATATTTGTCTCCGTGTTGATTCGAACCGAATATATTCGGTCACACAGGCAAGCCCACGTGTATGTGTGTGTGTGCGTGCGTGCGTGCGTGCGTGTGTGTGTGTGTGTGTGTGTGTGTGTGCACGTATGTCATCATCAATTGTCTTGCCGACTGGCGTGAGCGATCGTGTCCTCCACAATCTGCGACCCGCAGATGCGTCTGCTGATTCGTGTGTTGACACCCCCCTCTATGCCATGACAAAGAGCTGTCAAGAATCTTCTCGCGCTGTCTTCCCCTGTCTCTCTTTCCACAAATCTTTCCAGTGGTCACACCGTGTTCGACCTTTCCTCTTCCCATAACATGGCCAAAAAATGATGACTCTCTCTTTCTGATGTTTGTGATACATAAAACTTTTTTTTTTTTTTAGACAATGGGGCACAGTTGCTTTCTTACTTACTAACTAATTCTTCACCTGACTTTTTGAATGTAGTTACATCAGTGACAGTTCTGTTTTGTGCTGCTGTAGTATCCTTTTCGTTACTTGTTGCTACAGGCTTGTCATCTCAAAATCCGCTTGTTCGTTGTAGATGAAACATGTCACCTCCATTCTTTTGTTTCTCGTTATTTGTAGAGGAAACATGTCACATTAGCGTTTTATGCTTCTCGTTATTTGTAGAGGAAACATGTCACATTAGCGTTTTCTGTTTCTCGTTATTTGTAGAGGAAACATGTCAGATTAGCGTTTTATGCTTCTCGTTATTTGTAGAGGAAACATGCCACATTAGCGTTTTATGCTTCTCGTTATTTGTAGAGGAAACATGTCACATTAGCGTTTTCTGATTCTCGTTATTTATAGAGGAAACATGTCACATTAGCGTTTTATGCTTCTCGTTATTTGTAGAGGAAACATGTCACATTAGCGTTTTCTGTTTCTCGTTATTTGTAGAGGAAACATGTCAGATTAGCGTTTTCTGTTTCTCGTTATTTGTAGAGGAAGCATGTCACATTAGCGTTTTCTGATTCTGGTTATTTGTAGAGGAAACATGTCACATTAGCGTTTTCTGTTTCTCGTTATTTGTAGTGGAAACATGTCACACTAGCGTTTTCTGTTTCTCGTTATTTGTAGAGGAAACATGCCACATTAGCGTTTTCTGTTTCTCGTTATTTATAGAGGAAACATGTCACATTAGCGTTTTCTGTTTCTCGTTATTTGTAGAGGAAACATGCCACATTAGCGTTTTCTGTTTCTCGTTATTTGTAGAGGAAACATGCCACATTAGCGTTTCCTGTTTCTCGTTATTTATAGAGGAAACATGTCACATTAGCGTTTTCTGTTTCTCATTATTTGTAGATGAAACTTGCCTCCAAAACGTCCCCTAAGTCTTGTTATTTGTACGTGAAACATGTTGTCTCAACTTCCAACGTTTCTTGTATTTGTAGATAAGACCCGTCACATCGTGTTTCTTCTTCTTCTGCGTGTGACATCAGTCATGCTAAACATTGAGTCCCGTCTGGGTCACAAATAGGATTGTGCGTTTAAGGTCGCCACCTGTTTCCCCATAGCTTCTCTTACAATGTGGCTCCGTTGGGCCAGTACAACCCGTCACATCAATATCCTCTGTTTCTCATTTTTTTTTTAAGATAACCACGTCACCTCACCTACATCTATCTCTGGTTATTCGTAGATGAATGTTTTACCGGAACGTCTTCTATTTCTTCTTGTTATTTGTATATTTATAGAAAACACATGTCGCTTCAGTATCTCATGTTGTGGTAACTGTAATCTTATCATGTCGACCTAAACTTCGTTTTGTAAGCTGTTAAACAAAAATCTATAGATAACTGTGACCTAGTAATTAATTAACCAGTAATGTAAACACTTCCAAAACTCTTCTTTGTAAAGACGAAGCAAATATAGGAAAATAATAACACGTTTACGTTAAGCCCAGAGACCAGTGTAACTTTTGTTTTAGAATAGTAAGACATTTACGTGAAACACAGAGGCCAATTTAATGTTCCTCTCTTCCTATTTTCTCTACCCCTGGAAAGCCTCGCGGCGTCAGGACATGAAGATTTCTCTGGACAGGGCCCTTCTGTTCGCTTCATATAAAGTACTTTACAGTGTCTCAGATATTTCTACGGCCCATCTTCAACAGGTTGGCCCCCGATTTAACTTAGTTGAATAGCCCAGTTATAGAGACTTACACACATATGGTTTGAACAACGGATTAACATCATGGCACAAGTGAGTAACCCATAAGTGCTCCGTTCTAATTCTAACTCAAGCCTGCGTCTGAAGAATCTCAGCGCAGTGCACAAACTCCGTAGCACTGGCGAGGATCCTGAAATACTTTGGGTAGATTTGTAACTCCACATTTTAGCCCTGGTATCGCCGCTAGGCTACTTTTTTCGATTTCCAACTGCCAAGGGATTCTTTACTTGCGCAGCAGTACACACGGGCGTCCGATCTGACTACCCAGAGACCAGGGGGGATTATTAGAAGTCCACGTGAAGAAAATCCCAGCCTTTACCGGGGACTGAACCCGGGACATCCAGCACTCGGGGCGGACGCCATGCCTCGAGACCACTCAGCTCCCTAGAGAGAGACTTACCTCTTTGAGTCCCAGAGGGTTTAGCATCACAGGCCTAGGGGGTAGTAAAGATGGTCATAAAATCGGCGCATCACGCGTTCTTTGGGCTTCTAGGTAGGAACTTATGAACGTATGATGCGTTCCTTGGGACTCGAAACACTACGGAAATAGTAACAAATATGTTTACCAGTTTTTTTTTCTTTCCGAAAACAGACA